GGGGGGGGGGGGGGGGGGGTGAACTCGTGGAAGATTTATTATCGCGGCAGAAAATACGATTATGCTCGCTCCGCGAGGCAAGCAACTCACGAGACTTTTGTACCTGTAATTTGTGAAGATCGCAGATATCGATAAAATCGTCATGAAGTGGAAGAGAGGGCCATGCGAGTTTCTGTCGCAGAAAACGTTCCTCATAATAAAGGATGATTTGGATTCAAAAGGTAATGTACATCGTACTTCGTGCCAGCGACATTTTTTTCTAATCCATTCTTCAAATGGAACAATAATCGCATATCGATCCAGAAGCAAATCACCAGAAGAGGTGATTTCTTCTTTTTATGACTGATTCTTTTCAAAATACATGATAGTGATGCATTAATTCATTGAAAACTAATCTCATTTTTTAAATAAAATCTTATCGCGCGAATGTAAAATAGTAATAGTCTTCTTTTAAAGTTTTACTTATCCTTAGTATTCAATAAATTTTTCAGTAGTTTCAGCAGTTCATCAGATATTAATTAATCCAGTCGAGACCAACTAAAAGTAACATAGCATTAATATATTATAATTTCGTACTTAACAACATAAACGTATTATAGCACATGGTTACATAAAAGTTACATTGTTGTGTCCGAAATTGTAAAACATTGATGTTACTTTTTTATAACATTGATGTTAACTGAATATTAACTATCTCTCTCTCTGACAATCACAGTCTATCTCTAATCTGAGATATTCAAAAAATAAAAAGTACATATTTTTGAAATCTCTAAATATGGCTTTCAATTGGTCAAAACCGATCTGTGTTTCTGTGTCGATATTTCCTTTTAACGACAGATTATTTCCATCTAAATAGATGCGACCAAGAAAACAGACGGCAGGAAGGCAGCGGCGAAAAATGCGACGCGTATCGGCACCTGGCCGCCAAAAATGAAGCGCGTGGTTTTCTGCACGGAAGAACCAGAGAGGCCGAAGACGGCGAATCTTGCGAGGCCAAGTGTGCTGGACCCCGCGCTCGTGGATAAGCTTGACATGTCATTGCTCAGTAAGGAATTGCTTTGCGACTCGATGACACGTTTCCATCAGAATGGGAAGCCAGTCAGTGGGGGCACGACATCATCGTCATCGTCGTCGTCGCTGTCGTTGCTGTTACCGTCGCCGCCGTCGGTATCACGACGACGCCAGAGCGCCGTCGTCAACATCGCGACAACCACCACTTGGCCGTCTCATGACGCTCCAGTGCGTCGTCAGCGACGGAGCTTCGAGCAGATTTACGAGCCGCGGATAGCAGCGGGCCAAATGGAGGAGATTGACAGATCACGATCGCCTGCAGTCGCCACGATGCAAGAGTTTGCGTCCAAACGAAACTCCGACATCAGGAAGCTCGACGATAACAACAACAAGTCAGTGATGATTAGATCATGAATTAATCGAGCTAATAATATTCTTCTTTAAATTATTAAAAAATATCAAACGATTTATTTACAAGGGAAGGGTCAAATAATATACACAGATTTTGTCTAAGTTTAAATATATTTTAATATTTACCCCCCACTAATTCATTATAGACAAGTGACACGACTCGATATCAAGCATTTGCGAGAAATTCGCATGGAACATTTTGGAATTTTTTATTAAATTGTGTATCGATATTATTCATATGATTAAAGGCGTTAAGGTATGTGTTAAAGTATAATGTTATAATTATAAAATAATTGTTCTACTACATGCTTACGTAAAAAATTATCAAAATGGACGAAAAACTTTTAAATCAAATTGCTCGTAACATTTTAATTTGCACTAACAATAAGATATATTTAAAGTTAGTCGAAATTCGTATGTATATATTATTTGTATCCTCCCATTATTAATTATCAGAAAATTATTAAAATCTGAGTCTTGCATATTTTATCTTTGAAAAGTAACTATATGCCTCATCATGATTACTTATCCTTCGCTTTTAAAACAATTATGTTTTATACTTATATTCTAAATATATTCATGCAATTAGAAACAGTCCTCCTAAAGTGCTATCAATGGTGAAGAAGAGAAACTCGAGGTCCGGTTTATCAAATGATCTGGAAATATTCACCTCCACCTCAAAGACAACAAGAAGTGCGCCAGAGCCTTGCAAGTCCTGCGGGCGTCCGGATCAGCCCGAAAGGTTTCACAGTCATCCTAAGAGCAGTCATGCCAGAATCAAGGATATTCCAACGCCGATGACGATGAAACCGAAGCCCGCGGTGCCGCCAGTACCAAAGTCCATTCAAAAGCCGGTGGCGTTGAACTTTCGCAGCGACCGTAACAGGAATAAATTGGATGAGGCCGAAACAAAGTCAAATCCGGTCATTCCTCAGGATCATCCCTCGGACCAGCAAAGCAGATCGTCCGCGTCGATGAAACGAGGTCCCAGGAGCGTCACGTGTTACGTATGCGGTCGGGAATTCGGCACTGCCAGCTTTCCTATACATGAGCCTAAGTGCATGGAGGTAAAAAGTGGCTTCGACATTATCGCAATACCCTAAAACACAATAATTGATATGAGTATTAACATAATCAATACGATCCCAGTAAATACTCTTGGTCAATATTACAATTTCCCAACAACGTGATTGTTACATACAACATATGTCGTACAATATTTATATAGTGTGGAATAGAAAATTACATATTGATACAATCTTATTGTTAGTTGATGTTTACTAGGCTGAAGGCTCTATCTTTTACTTCGAATCACTTATCGTCGTGATAAAAGCCTTAAAATAGATAAAGCCTAAAATTAGGGCAGCGCCCGACTGACATTTTGAAGAAGCCGTAGAGTCGCCGATAAATTCCTCTTCTCATTTCATCGCGGAAGTAAGAGAAGGTTCATAACATAATAGCTCTGCAACGATAGCGCGCATGTAATAAGTCAAGGCCCTTCCGCAAGATCGATGATGGTATAAAACGTTGCGTTACTTGTACTATTAAACTCGATATCAGATGCATTCGTTTGCGTGTAACCGATGTGTCATAGTTGAGCGAGAACTATAACGCAACAATCGGTTGCGGTAATTTGTAACGCGCTTAGACGGGGGTGTCTTCGACCGACCGCGTTTTCTCGTAACGATGGATTATTTAATGAATACTCTATATCCTGCATTTGCGCACACAAGTTTGTTAAACATGATGTTACGCGATTCTTATCTCGCTTTCACATTGCGATCTTTGCGATCGATACGTTCGCAAAATTCGCATTTATGCACGCAATCCCTTAGTATATAAATAGTATACACACTTTCAACCAAATGACATTAGAACAAATGTTATACACTGCAGCAATGCCAATGTGCTGCAATGTAAAATCGATACAATGGTTGCATGTTGCACGGAAAGAATGATTTTGCTGAATATCTACAAATTGATCTAGATATAGATCTAAAAAAATAATTTTATTAGATAATCAAAATAATTCTATAAAAGAAATTCAAACATAATGAGATAGTGCAAAAATTATTCTAGCAACTAGTTTATGAGTATCCTATATAATTATTTTGATTATTAGTTTGTTCGTACATGTTTTTGATGTATAAGATTTATCAAACATTAGCATTTAACAACTAGTTTTGATTCGCAGCTCTTCCTTTATACTTTAATTTTTATTTTATTTAATTAAGTTAATTATTAAATCTTAATCTTTTTATTATTAATCTTTGATATTTTGGTAGTAATATAATTATTTCAAATATATAGCTAAATTTTTAGGTACTTTAGCAAAACCATTCTTTGCATGTATATATATTATAGAAAATTGCATATAAATTGTTGGAAGAAAATGTCTTATTAAAAAAAAAGATTTCGTCTTCAAAAGTTTTTTTTAGTAATGATGAAATTGATTGATTTGTTTCTTCGCTAAATAATTATTATTATTTTACGAATATTATTTTAGTATCGTAAATTATTATATTGGAACATCATATATATATTTATAATATTTAGTAATTCTTTACTATACCATTCGTATATTTATTCAAACGTACATCTTTATTACAGAAATGGGAGCGCGAGAATAATTCGTTGCCTCCGTCTCAAAGACGGCCCAAACCGCAAAAACCTGCGGTTAGCATCGAGCACATCGACTGGAACGCAGCTGCATGGGAGCAGAGTCAGGTAGATCCTCCGTTACAATTCTAATTAACAATGCAACGTTAACGAAATATATGACGAAGTCATTATTACAAGATGCGTCGTTTCCGTTTGAGAGGATATTGTTCGCGCTTCGTTAATTTTATCCGATGATGCAGTCCTTACTTGTCGATGATGCAAGAATCAATTATGGATATATATATATATATATATACTGCACATATGGAGTTCTAAGAGCGTCGGAAAATGTGCTTGGTAAATTAGAATCGAACGCAAAAAAATTTGCTATTTATAAAATTGGACACTTTGCCTTAGAAATTAAAGGAAATTAATGAATTCTAATCTAAATTTTGAAAGATTCGTCATAAATTTATTTAGAATCGAATTACAAGACATAATAATTTAATAATATGTATCGCGTGCGGAGTCTACGAAGATTTCGTGCTGTTTACGAGTGCGTGATTCTAACATCGAATATTAAAGACTGCTCTTTAACATCTCATATGCATACGACTCACATGAGCGCACATCAAATGAGAATGCGTGTTACGTAAGGAGGGTCTCCGACGATTAACTATCATTTGCATAAAAAATTAGAATTGTTTATCATATATCGAATGATAAATTAGCGATTTAAATGCTCTATCGGATTAAAATGGATTTAAAAAATCAAGAATTTGGATTCAGCAACGACCAAATGAATCTATTTCAATCTGTTTCAATCTTTTTCTGGATACTGGATAATTATCAGCGATTTCAACTGCCAATATTTGTAGATGTTAATTTAAAGATGACAAAAATTTTTTAATGAATAATTTGTTTAGATATTTTATACTTTATGAATTATCATTTCATGTCTTGATCAATGCATTAATTTGTTATTAATCTTTTTTATGGAATCCATTATGACATATATATATATATATGTCAAATATATATATATATATATATTTGTATACAATTAAAGTATATAAATAAATGCCAGCAGAGATATAACATACATTTTGTCTGTATAATTAAATAAAAATACAAGAACCTGCATTTTTTTTGTAGGAGCAATTAGTTCCATGTGCTAAGTGTGGGAGGACATTTCTACCAGAACGATTACCAATCCATGAAAGAAGCTGCAAAGCCACGCCTAAGGTGTATTAAGTGTATTAAATGTATTAAGTGATTTCGGCATTTTAGTTTTCCTCAACATCTATTCTTCCAGAATAATGAACGATTGGCTACGCCAGTGAATGGGCGTAGTGCACCGCTTACTATTCCCTGTTGTGTTTGTGGGCGGAGATTTGGCACTAGAAGCATTAAGATTCATGAGCCACAGTGCAATAGGCGATGGCAAACGCAGAATGATGCAAATCAACAGGATAACCAAGTCCCTTACAGGCAAAAATCAGCCAATAATGCACAGGGAAGTTCACAGTCAATGTATCCGGTAAGCTAAAAAATGGAAAACGTACACGCTTTTATCTTTGAATCAACTCTTATCACTATACATCTTTCATGCAAATGTTTTCCCCTTGCAGTGAGCCTCTGACATTTAGAATAAATTATTTCTGTGTTTCTATATAAATGTTCTTTGTTATTTGAAACAAAAATTCTCTTATTTTACGTGACATTGTGTCATGTGTGGGATAAAATAATTTGTTATAACATATAACTATTAGAATGAAAAACATTAAATGAAATAGTATAAATATAAAGAAAGCAAAGAGCCAAGTAATTACTTTTATCAAATGAAACGTTCAACAAATAATAAGAATAATAAGGAGACTGCTTGATTTTAGAATTTGTCACAAAAGAAAACAGTTACTTGTTATATCTGTGGCCGAGATTTCGGATCGTCCAGTATCGCTATTCACGAACCCCAGTGCTTGAAGAAGTGGCATGCTGAGAATGATAAGCTGTCGCCGGCTCGAAGAAGAAAGGAGCCACAAAAACCTGAAGTTATATACATACGTAAGTCAATGTTCTCCTTTGCATAATGCTTGCATGCACGTGTGCATCTAGCTCTGCGTTTAAGTACTTATAAACTTCATTCTACCTTTCTTTCGCATGTATAAATGAGCGATAAAGAGAGCGCTTACAGCGCGTGAGCACCCAAAGCAAATGTAAGGAATGTTACACGAAAATGAAATGACAAAAAGATTGAGGGGCTGGATTCTATGGTTTTTAAGTTATAAACAAAAAAATTACAAATTTAATTTAAAGACGAAAAAGGTACGCTATGAAATTTTCTACAAGAATCAGTCGTCAAAATCGAAATTAGAGTGACATCCAAAATTAGCCCTGCGGCCAATATTTATCCCACGAAATCCACGCGTATCCCTTTATAGAATCCAGCCCCTCGATTATTGAGAATTTACAACAATTTGAAAAAAAATGAAATATATTGTAGTTATGTTAAACTCTTACAATCGCAATTTCTGTTATTTATCATTTCAGCAGCAAATTTAGATTTTAAAGTTAATATTTTGATCGTAAATTCTAATAGATTAATTTAAATTTATAAAAGATAAGTAAAATACAATTCAACTTTATATATTTATGATAGAAAAAATTCGTCGTTAAAATTTTCACAAATTGCAAGAATTTTTTCAGATTTTTATATAATTCGGAATATAAAAATTTACAGTGTTGAAATATTAAATATATTGATACATTTTATTTTCTTTTTCTATACTTTCTCTTTGTCTAGCGCAAAGGTATAATCTCATAAAATAATACATAACGATCAGAATAGATTTTTTCGAAGTCTGTATTTGTCCTTTCTTGCATATTTGTCACTCACCTTGAAGTTCATTCCGAATTCGTTGTCACGGTCAAGAGTACTACGAAGTGAATCAGGTTAAAACGATTACATCTGCATGTATGAAACATGAAGTAATGTTCGTCATGTTCCTACCATGGTATGGAAGTGGGTGTAGTCCTGATTAATTATACATGCATTGCAGATGTATTCTTGATCGGGAGTTTCAGTATATAAATCGATAATCGCTCGACAGAATGCGACGAAAATCTTTTATCACTCATTCTTGATTTTTCTGCACAAATAAAAAATATTATTTAAAAGTAAAGATTTAAATCCACGTGTTGCAACTTGTATATTAGTGGTAATTTGAAAATTAGAAAATTTTATAACTAATGTCCATTTCTGTCAATGTAGATTAACTTTAATCTTGGTTTAATTTACTTTCTTTTTTAATCATTAAAATTAAAAAAGGATAAAAAGTAAGTTAAATCTAGATTGATAAGAAAGTAAAGATAAATTGATAGAAAGTAAAATCTACATTGTGATAAAAATGAATATGAGATCAATCGATACCAATTAAAAGTAACATATATTTAAGCAAACACTAACTAAGATTAACATAACTTTTAGATCTATTTCTCTTAACAATATAATTGATATCAAAACGTAACAGGACTACGAGCCATGAAAATAAAACATTCAATTTAAATATAACGAATTTAATAACATAATATAATTGATGTTATATTACAGTTATATTGTTGATAGGGAAATTACAATTATATCAATTATGTTAATATTAGACTGGGTTCCAATATTTACTGCCACTACTGAAAATCCATACTATACATTATAGATTTTCAGCAGTGGTAGTGAATATCGGCATACAGCCTTGCGTGTTTCGTTCGCTAGGATAACATCAAGTTATAATGTTTGCAATCAACAAAAGTAACTTTATACAACATTATGTTTATTATATTTATGTTATTGAATGCAAAATTATAATATTGATATTGTTATTTTTAGCTTGTATAACAGAGATTTGTTTTAATAGTTAAACAGAATTGAATTGTTGACTGAGGCAACAGACAAATTGTTTATAAATCGATTTAGGAATTGAACGTTTCCTTAAAGCTCCTCCCACACTTTTCAAGGTACAATACAGTCAGCAATGACGACTTCACTGTTCGCAGAGGATTCCAGCACAGGAAATATGGTGGTTGATCAGGCAGCAACAGTTGAGGCCAACTGGATGACGCATCTGAGCCAACTGATACCCTGCAAGCATTGTGGAAGAACCTTTAATCCAGATCGTGTGAACATTCATGAGAAAAGCTGCAAAGGGAGCCGTTAAAAATCTATCGGTTCTCTCTCAACTTAACGTCAGAATATATTATACTCAAGTACCGTTTATATTCTTTAGAAGTGATCTGTGTTCCTACATGGATATTATAAATAATATCAACTTTTGTAACATATAGCCTCCATATGAAGATTTTTAAGTTTTTTACTTAAAACTTGCTTCAAACTTAACTCGCTTCTATTTAGATTAACTTTATTAATTACGGATAACACATATTATTTATTATATAATTTGTAGTTTTTTGTTTCGAGGAAGCATTATTGGAGTGTAAAACCGATAATAAAAATCGAAGACTACAGCACCTACCGTGCACCTTGCATAAACACACAAATGTTGTTAGACGTTACGAATCAGTGGATGATTATAACACAATTTAAGTTTAATTACACAAATTATCAATTTACTGTATATATATGTGTCCCGAAGTTATCATTATTCGGTTCGTGCATTATTTCATCGATATCGATCCTAGATGTGTTGTTTGTAGTTGCATTGTGTTCTACATTTTGTACCCAAAACGAAATATAATTAGATAATGTAGAGAAAAAAACAGGAAAGATGAAAAGTACAAAGAATTTAGAGCTACAAAAGGAATAAACATTTCAATGAGAAAACTCAACATCTCAATAATTCGTAATAATATGTCTTTGTAATTAATTCGATTTTATAAAATAAAGTCCATTTAAAAGAGAAACTTACAAATTGTCTTATGTTAGTTTTTTCAGTTTATTCAGTCTTAATCTGCTAATATAAGTGTTGCAAATTGAAATTGATTATGTTTACCATGCCCGCCTTTAATTGGGTTTAAGCCTATTTTACAATTATGTAAGAACTGGACCGAGAAAAATTGTCGGATACTTCAACGCGGTGCTGGGACTCGAAGTCGAACAGCGAAGGCATCATAAGTAGTAGTTCGTTTGTATTAATAAGCCATCGTTTTGTCGTAGAGTCACACAGCCTGACGGGAGGATCTTAGTCTATTTCTTACATTGACCATAAAACCCATTCTACAATTGTGTAGTTGTAAATAGTTGTAATCAGCTCTAAATATTTACAAATAATTGTATAAACGTTCAAAGCAGTTTATAGAATCCCGCTTAACCCCCGCTTAACCTCCGCTTCGAGACTGATAAAAGAACTTTTGGCAAGGGCGCAAGCGCCACAAGTAAACGTGTTCGTTATTTGAATTGCGTTCCAAAACTTCCAAAAATTTGATTAATCTCGTAGAAGTTGAAGACTGCGTTCAGGAACATCACCCGAGTGCTCCCGTGTATCGTCTTATCCTTGTTTAACATGATTGGACAACAAGGATAAAACGATATACGGGAGCACTTGGGTGATGTTTTTGAACGCAGTCGAAGTAAAGAGAAATTATGGGTGCATTTCCTTTCACGAATGGGCTTTAGGGCTGCCGCACACATCTTCCGTAAAGGTACAATTTCATGCTGACGCTTGACGCTTATTTTTAGCGTCAAAACAGATCACGTGATCAAAATTGATGCTTAATATTCGTCAATTTGTATCACGTGATCTGTTTTGACGCTAAAAATAAGCGTCAAGCGTCAGCATGAAATTGTACCTTAACAGTAACCATAATACATACCGTAAAAATCAGTCAATCAGAATTAAAGGAGCCTACTGGCGCCGCTCTGGTCTGTAGGCTCCTTAAGAGTTCAAAAGAATTTTCGACTGTGATTGGCTAATTCTTACGGTATGTCTTAAGCCCATTCTACAATAGGCAATAGCAGTAGTGGATTAAGGAGTAGGTGTGAAATCAACAAATAGGAGAAATCAACAAATCATAATCGAATGTGAGGAAGATAATTAACTATCATTGGTCGATTTCTACGCCTACTCCTCGATCCACTACTACTACTGTCTATTATAGAATGGGCTTTATGGTTACTGTTAAGCGGGGAGCACAGACTTTTGCATAACGCATAATACATAGTGCATAAGAGAATCAACCAATCTGAATCCCTCCTTTCCTTCCACTTCACGGAAAAGAAGAACTTTGATTGGCTGATTCTTTTATGCACTATGCGTTATGCATTATGCAAAAGCTTGTGTTTGGGTTCTTGTGCACGGAAGGTGTGTGCAGCAGCCCTGGCACACTAAAATACTTAAGGCAGTAAGACTTAGCAGTAAGCGAATTGACCAATCACAGTAGAGGCCGTAAAGCCATAACTTAAGCTGTAGCCAATCCATAACGTTGATTTCCTTACTGTTTACGTCTTACTCCTTAAGTTTTTTGTGTCCCAAGGCCTTAAGCCTTAAGCCGTAAGAAATTGATCAATTAGTCCAGATCTGCAATAGATGTTTTAAAGCCTTCAGCCGTAAGAAATTGACCAATTACAGTCAGATACGAGGAGAATAATCGACTGTAATTCGTCCATTTCGTATAGCATAAGGCTAAAAACTCTGTTGTAGATCCGGAATAAAGCGAGATTGTGGACCCAGCCTTATGGATATCGATCTATGAATACTAGCCAAAATCTGAGGTGCGCGCACACCTTCATGCGCATTGGACGCGCGTTTCTGCCAGGGCGCAGAAGCGCGCGCCGCCGCAACGCGGCGCTCCTTTCACGCATAAGAGGCGACGTTCGGACTGGTTGCGGATAGCTTGTTCTTTCCCAGGGAGTCCGCCATAGTTGGTGCACGTATAATTTGGACCAGGCCGTCGACAATCGGACAACATCCAAGATGGTACGTAACCGCGTTGCAACGCCGTTGCAGCGATCTTTGGCCGCGCGTTATCGCGCTCGCGCTACCGTCAATATTTTTCGCGGAATATCCTTTGCGGCCAAGCACGCCGAGGCTTCGTTTCGTAGGTCCTCCCCTCTCACCCCGCGTGTACCGCGTTCACGTTTGCTCTTTCCGCATCTGGCTACGACAACGCGATTACTCCGGATTGCGCAACTTTATCCGCGCGATGTCTATTCGGAGTTTCGGATCCGCGATGTCCCGGATACGAATCGTTGATCACGTAATGAAACGAGACATCATCGGGGAGACGCACGAACTCGAGAAACTTTGCCGTCGCGGCATCTCCACGAGCGGAAATATATACCTCGCAACGTGTCATGGTGCACTTCGCGTGGCTGCCGACACGCAACGTGCTCTGAGGGGGGAGGGGGAGGGGTCAACGCTGCTCCTCTCATTTCGAAGTCCTTTGTCGGCTCGATCACGACTCGACGCTTTCGGGATCAGAGAATCTTCACATAGAAAAATGCATCGGCTGTTGAGCATTTCTGGAAAGTCGTCACGAGACGCCTCGAGGGGAAGAAATATGTTGCGCTTACGATGTGGTAGGTCTCGCGTGCTCTTTAACGAGGCATGTGTTAAAATGTTCTCGAGGCAGTATTGCTTATTCGGGACCCTTCTTGGGATTAACAATTTTGGAAATGCAGATTGAAACAAAAAAGCATGTAAAAAAATACTACTGAATGTCATGATAAGATTCCTTCATGGTTTTATATAATGTAGCATATATAAGTAAATTAGAAGATAGTACATGAATATTATTTATATTATATAAATATATAAATTGTATATGAGACAGTAGGTTGAACTTCCTTTTAGTAGCATTAATTTGAGACAGTTCTGGGCATTAGACATTTGGTCAGATGTATAAGAAGCATGTTTCAATATGGTTATTGTCAAAGTATTTCAGAGCAGATTAATAAATGATTAAATATTTTTTATATATATTGTGAAAAAAAATGTTTAAAACTGATTTGCAAAGGACTTATTTCTCCCCATGTCACAATATGTTGCAATAGCCTTGTTAAAAATTATGTATATAGCGAACTGCACTATAATACAGTTTGAACTAATTATTGATTATATTATGTAATTGTACATTTATGTTTATAAATTTAAATCAGAAATTAATTTTAATCAGTTTCTAATATATAATGATAGTAGAAATTACTTGTGGATTGACACAATTAAGGTATACTTAAATTAAAAATCCGCTGTTACAGGTGAACTTTACGGTAGACGAGATCCGTACCATGATGGACAAGAAGAAAAACATCAGAAACATGTCCGTCATTGCACATGTGGATCATGGAAAGTCAACTTTGACTGACTCCCTTGTCTCTAAGGCCGGCATTATTGCCGGTGCCAAGGCTGGCGAGACCCGATTTACAGACACACGTAAGGATGAGCAGGAGCGTTGTATCACCATTAAATCCACGTAAGTTGCACCATTTTGTGCTCTCTGCTTGAATCTCACATTATCCGTTATTATATCCATGCAATTAAAATCGCTTACTGCTCTCCTTCTAGCGCTATTTCCATGTTCTTCGAACTCGATGAGAAAGATTTAGTCTTTATTAAAAATCCTGATCAACGTGACAAAGACGAGAAGGGCTTTTTAATTAATTTGATTGATTCACCGGGACACGTAGATTTTTCGAGCGAGGTCACAGCTGCCCTCCGAGTTACTGATGGAGCTCTTGTTGTTGTTGATTGCGTATCTGGTATGTGTTTTTCATGATTTTCTTCTAATCATGTAGTTTCCTTGCCGCAATCAAACAAATTGATCTTCCAGCATACAAGTGTTACTCTATAGTATGCCGTTTGGTTTATATAAACTGGTCGGTATACATTGACAGTGTTGACAGTGCAATGGAAGAAGAGTAAAAAGCAGTTGTCTCTAAACGCTGTTAGTGGACCTCTATCCTTATGTCCGTTATTAACACGCTACGATACAAATGCTACATTGCCTTTCATAAGATTATTATATTGTTATATTTACCAGTTTGTAGTCGTACAATTCTTGCCAGAAAATAAATAGTATCGATGATTCCCTTAAATAATAAGTGATTATAATTATTTGCTTATATTTTTTTCTTTTTAGGTGTATGTGTACAAACTGAAACTGTACTACGCCAAGCGATCGCTGAACGTATCAAGCCTGTTTTATTCATGAATAAAATGGACCGTGCACTCTTGGAACTCCAGCTTGATAGCGAAGATCTCTATCAAACTTTCCAGCGTATCGTTGAAAACGTTAACGTTATTATTGCAACGTACTCCGACGACGACGGTCCTATGGGTGAAGTTAGAGTAAGTGAAATACGAGCTTTTAATATAAAAACAATTGTTATATACATACCTTTTCTAAATGTATATTTGTAAAATAGGTAGATCCTAGCAAAGGCTCTGTAGGTTTCGGTTCTGGTCTTCATGGCTGGGCTTTTACCTTAAAACAATTCTCTGAGATGTACGCCGAGAAATTCAAGATTGATGTAGTGAAATTAATGAACAGACTATGGGGCGAATCTTTCTTCAATCCCAAGACCAAGAAGTGGAGCAAACAGAAGGAACCTGATAATAAACGATCCTTCTGTATGTACGTCTTAGATCCAATTTATAAGGTAATCTCTCACTGTATTAGATGTTACATAAAGTAATCAATGTTTGCGTTTTCGTTCTGATAAATGTTGATAACTGAAATAAAAAATCACTTATAGGTATTCGATAGTATTATGAATTATAAGAAAGAGGAAGCAGACAATCTTCTGAAAAAGCTGGGTATCGTGCTAAAGGCCGAAGATAAGGACAAGGATGGAAAAGCTTTGTTGAAGGTAGACTTCTTTCTAGAGTATGATACATATATATATATACCTTGTGCAAATATATATAATGATGATAGTTTTTTTTTCTGACACCTCTTCTGATTTATAAATGAGGGAGTGTTATATCTCTGAGAGACATTTAACGATCACATGCTAGTTCACTTTCTTTGGATTGTTTTTCTATGGTATTTTACAATTTTTTCAGGTTGTTATGAGAACATGGTTACCTGCCGGAGAGGCTCTTCTTCAGATGATTGCTATTCATTTGCCATCTCCTGTAACTGCTCAAAAATACCGTATGGAGATGCTGTACGAAGGACCGCTCGATGACGAAGCTGCCATTGGAATTAAGGTTTGCAATATATATCTGACTTTTTCAGATATTTGATACAAATTCATGATGATATAATTTCATCACAGACCTGTGCTGAAATATAATGAGGGAAAATCGAAATTCTGACTCGAAAAAATCTTAAGAGATTATTGAGAGAGTCTATATCTGAGAGTATAATTAAATTAAGTTATCTTTTGTAGAACTGCGATCCTAATGGACCACTGATGATGTACGTCTCAAAAATGGTACCGACATCGGACAAGGGACGTTTCTACGCTTTTGGCCGAGTATTTTCGGGCAAAGTGTGTACCGGTATGAAGGCCCGTATCATGGGACCCAACTTCCAACCGGGCAAGAAGGAAGATTTGTACGAGAAAGCTATTCAGCGTACTATTTTGATGATGGGTCGTTACGTCGAAGCTATCGAAGATGTGCCTTCTGGTTAGTATCAAATCAAAATTGTGTGGTGCTTTTTTTGAGTGCTTTCTATTCGATTTGTATGTCAACTTGTATCACAATTGGAAAATTTTTTTATTTCTAACACATGATGTTTGTTCGAACAGACCTGTTCTGACTTACTTATGATAGAAAGATAGAACGGCCAGCTGATTTAGCTAAATAAGATTATAATTAATTAATGTACATCCACATGTGTTAGAACTAATTAATTTGCGCAGGTAATATTTGCGGTCTTGTCGGCGTTGATCAGTTCTTGGTTAAGACCGGTACCATCACAACGTTCAAGGATGCGCACAATATGAAAGTTATGAAGTTTTCTGTATCACCTGTTGTGCGTGTCGCAGTCGAGCCGAAAAATCCTGCTGATTTGCCAAAGTTGGTCGAAGGTGTGTATGTTTTTCTCCCTAACTCATTTTACATTTAATTAATTATTAGCCTCTTAAAGAATAATTAAATTTTACTGAAAATCTGTGATTTTTGGATTAAGTATTATATATTATTTTATTTATGATTTTTAATCAGTTTTGTGTAAAATTGAGATACTGTTGTGATTCTATATGATGAAATTATTATGAGCATTGGGTTATGAAGATCCATGATTTAAATTTTTTTTATCTCTGACGATATATCGATAAATTTATTAAATATCCTTTAATATCTCATTCGCGCATATGTAATTTAAGTGTGCTTAATTTCATAGGTCTCAAACGTTTGGCGAAATCCGATCCTATGGTACAGTGCATTATCGAGGAATCCGGTGAGCACATTATCGCTGGTGCCGGAGAACTGCATCTTGAAATTTGTCTAAAAGATTTGGAGGAGGATCACGCATGTATCCCGATTAAGAAGTCCGATCCCGTTGTTTCGTACAGAGAAACAATCTCCGAACAGTCGAATCAAATGTGCTTGTCGAAATCCCCAAACAAACACAATCGTTTGTTCATGATGGCGTGTCCAATGCCAGATGGTCTTGCTGAAGACATCGACAGTGTAAGTTCCCTTTTTTTTTTAAAGAACTATAATCAACATAGAATACAATTTTAGTAAAATTAAATAAAATTGTAATGAAATATAGAAGATATTAGCGTAGTCAAACAGTTAGTTTGACACTTTGAATCAAAAGTAAATTTTACTTTTCGATATTTTGTAGGGCGATGTTAATCCGCGAGATGACTTTAAAGTACGCGCTCGTTACTTAAACGAGAAATACGATTACGACGTGACGGAGGCAAGGAAAATCTGGTGCTTTGGACCTGACGGTAGCGGACCTAATATACTGGTTGATTGCACTAAGGGTGTACAATACCTCAACGAAATTAAGGACTCTGTGGTAGCTGGATTCCAGTGGGCCACGAAAGAGGTGAAAGATTTTTGCATTGAATCAAGCATATTGATTATTAACGTTTAGCAATAATTTACTTTTACGTTATTGCAGGGCGTTCTTTCGGAGGAGAATTTGAGAGGTGTACGTTTCAATATACACGATGTAACATTACATGCTGACGCGATCCACAGAGGTGGTGGTCAAATTATCCCTACCACAAGACGTTGCCTTTATGCCTGTCTTCTCACTGCCTCACCCCGTATTATGGAACCTGTTTACTTATGCGAAATTCAGGTAAATTATTAAAATCCATTTAATGACGATACACACCATCGATTTTGTACATAAATCGTAATAATGAACAATTAAATATCGAAACTATCTTTTCGCAGTGCCCGGAGGTAGCGGTCGGTGGTATCTATGGTGTGCTGAATCGTAGGAGAGGTCACGTGTTCGAAGAACAACAAGTGGCAGGTACTCCAATGTTCGTAGTTAAAGCGTACCTTCCTGTAAACGAATCGTTCGGCTTCACTGCCGATCTGCGCTCCAACACCGGTGGTCAGGCTTTCCCACAGTGTGTGTTCGATCACTGGCAGATCCTACCAGGTGACCCGATGGAACTCGGCTCTCGACCTTACCAAGTTGTGCAGGTATATACATCCACTATTCTTTGTATATCTTTTCTGTTTATTTTCTACTAGAATACATGTTTGTGAGACAAAATATCAAATTTTTCATTGAGTAGGCGATTGCTTTATCGCTAAGCAATTCCTCGATGTTTTACCACGTACATAACTGATAGCGGCGACAATTCGGTGCACCGCTGTTTTTAATCTCGTGGGAAAGAAAGCGTTTTTAGTTTTGGTATTCCAGTAGACTATTCTGGTTTACCTGAATAGGAAAACATACAATTTTTTTCAAATGCAAATAAAGCTTCATGGAATTAACTATTTAATTTATTTATTGCAATTATAATCAAATCGAAATATTTTTTTGCAGGATACACGTAAGAGGAAGGGATTGAAGGAGGGTCTCCCAGACTTGAATGCATACCTTGACAAATTGTAACCTCAAATCCGCGCACCATATTTAAATACCTATTTAAATATTGTAATTTGATTAATATTGCTGGAGCAGTTGTATACAATTACAACATAAAACATCGGTTTACTATGAATTTTGTTTTGCGCAATCATCCGTGAGAGACACGCAATTATAAATACGAACAAGAATAATAAAATGTAATTATAACGAAGGAAGCAAAAAAAAAAAGAATGAGCGGAGTATATCTGCATGTAAAAGTGGGGCGGTATGTTTTGTACATTTATTTAATTAAGAACGGTAAAACAAGATCGACCGATTGCTTATGTTTTTAGCATATTGGGATAGCTATGATTGTTATTATGGCGTTTTTCGCGCCAATCCTTGTTTAAAAGGAACAGAAGATATAATTCTGTAATCGTTTACATTGCTTTTTTACTGGAATTTAGTATCTTACTTTAATTTTGTGAATTTTTCAATCGATTGGATGTGAATGGTTCCCGGAAGCTAATATTAAAGAGGAAAAGGATCATCACAACAATGTACTCATACTACAAAAATGTGAAGAAATTAAAGCTGAAATTACGAAATAGAACAGCAGCGAGCCTTTATTTCCTTTGCTTGATTAATAGGCATCGAATGTAACGATAATTTATTATGTACGTATACATTAATTCATTATTTCCGAGGCTGGTTATATTTCGGTACGTCATATTCCTTTACTCACAATTTTAATTCTCTAATTGATCTCTTATAAATTGTGTAATATATAAAATAAATAATTACAATCGGAACTAAGATTACGAGTCAATCACTCTTACGTTATATAATAATGAGGATTGATATATAAAATTATTAATTTTTTTTCAGTAAAAATATTGAGATGTTGATAGTTTCATAATAATACAATCTCATTTATATTCAGCATAGATAACAGATCTTTTCTTCGCATATTAATACTTTGTAGAATTTTAATATCGTTATTTTTTCAATCTTGTTTACGATATTTCTCCTTGCTTACCTTGATGTTCTCTACAGAGAGATGATATCAATATTTCATACGTTTTATTTGACAAATTAAAAATGCTATTTTAGCTAAAATGATTAATATTACATGTATACAATTGTAAAGTCAATACAACAAACGCGAATGCTACGCGATTTCCGTCGTTTATGAGAAACAATGATATTATTTCTTTGACTGCGAAGTCGTAAAGTCTCGGAGTTGCATAGGTATCACCAGTATTGGTTCGTTGATCCGTGGGATGTCCGTGTAAATGGACCATGTACGCTCGATGCAATTAAAGATGCCTGAAATAAATAAGAGTAGATTATTCTAGATAATATAATTCTAGAAGTCTTCCGCGATCTTACGCGTTTTTTTGTTCTTATTTACATTTGAAATATTCCTATATCTTTGCGATTCTACTAAACGAGTTCTGATTCATCGAGAAAAGTGGGAGATCCGAACGCACGTGCAGCGATTTTAATTACTCTTTATTTCTAGGCATAACAGGAAACTTTAAAATAAGTATGATGTAGGATTCTAATTCTTTGATGTAATTTTTCTTGCACGCATGGTTTTTTATTTCTAATAATCCTTATACTACCGTATTTAATGACCCTACTGGTATGACCCTACTATATGCAATCTATAGCTGCTTTTAAAAATTTTGGTTGAAGAAAAATAAAAATAAAGGAAAAAGAACAATATATTCAATTTTCTGATGTAGGCATACCAGTGGCAATTGTCTTGACCTCATCATCTTTGTCAAAGCCTTGATAGATCCTGTAATCTTCGCCCGTACGATCGCTAAGTATGTTGATCACATCCTGATGACTCTCTACTGGCGGATATTTTGAAATCGTCTTCATTCTCCTGATACTGCTCTGTATAATGTTTCCCTTCACTTCCTCTATCTTTAGTCGTAGGTATCTGAAAGGAGTTTATCATATGAGGACGAAACACGAAGATTCATACAATATTCCACACGACATAAAATATTTTCAAAATTTTATTTTCTAAAATATTTTTAAAACATTTCTAAAAACAATGCATTAAAATATTTTACAAAAATATTTTGAAAATTTTGTTTAATTATTGTAAGAAAAAGAATATTTCAAGAACCGATTTCCTATATTTATATTTTGGAAATATTTCTGAAATATTTAATGCTGTATATATATATGAAATACTACTCAGCTAGAAATGATAATAGAATCGACGTTGATTCAACGTCAATTTGATAATTTCGATGTTAAATCATCAACATCAATTCCATTATCATTTCTGGCTGGGTAGGATTATGACTGCATTATTCTACGCTTCGCTATTGTATGATTAGAAAGGGACGAAAGGAGGCGAAAGAATAACTTCTTCAAGATGCAAGAATAAAAGTAAGTAAACGAGTCATTTCGCGAATAGAATGCATATGTAAATCTATATGCAATGTGGGCATCATGTACTTGTTGCAATGAAACGTATTGTCGCCCGGGCTGACAGTCAGGATGTTAAGTTGCGACCGGTCGGCGCCCGCCTCAGCTGGGCCCACCTCGGCATTGTGAAACATCCGGTCGCCCTCCTGTGCGAGGAACGTCATGTTCACCGAGAAGCCCTCCGCCGCGCCGTAACCCTCGTTTCTCAGCGTCTGCTGCGCCTGCATGAAGTTCTCCACGCCCAGCAGTGCTCGTGTCAGGAAATATCGTGCTATATGTACAATAAAATCTTAATTAAGAAACGAAACTGATTATTGAATTTTTATATAAAATTAAAAAATTTGTACAACTAGAAAAATCGACTGAGAGCCAAGTTCTTATAGTTGCTAATATTTACTGACTTTCGAATTTTACAAATGTTTCATCCTAAAATTAGGACCTTCTCAATGTTAGAGAGAGTTTCTGCATACATAAAAACAAATTCTATTTTACATTGTATTTATTCATGTGTCACATTCATTTCTTCATTTTCATCTTATTGCCGTGGATATTAATTTGTAATAGAGAGTGATGAGAAGTCTCAAACTAAAAAGTTCCAACCAAAGACATTTTTCTAATTGTAATTGTTTTATTCAATTGAGCCTATAATGTATTGTTCCTTATTAAAAAATTCTTTTGTCGCACATAAATTTTTTCTCCACGAAAACTTATACAATTCGAATAAGTAATTTAAATTATATAAAGGCATTTAATATATATAAAGAAATAAAACTCACGAGTCTTGCCAGATCGTAGGACCGCAGCACTGAGGGTGTTGATGCTGTAAACGAGGCCATGATGGTTGTAGCCCATCGTATAACCCGGCAGGAAACCGGCGTAGCTTAACGACGTGAACTTTTCCTCTCTACAGTCCGCCTCAATAACGTGAGCACTCACGAGGTACCAGTGATTCATAGTTTCACTGACGGCATCTTCATTGTGACCCAAGATCTCCTATGTTTCATTAAGCACGCGACAAAAAAACAGAACAACATAAATAAACGGAATAGTACATAAATCTCAAACAAACTGATGAAGTAATATGATATAAATGATAAACAGTGAACAATATCATTATAGTAATTATATATACAGAGAGAATAGACTATACATTTCATATAATAGACTGTGGATTTAATGTACCTACGAATATTTATGATTTATTTGCGAATGTCGCAAGTTGCGGATGTTAAGATAATATCGTTTAAAGTAACAACTCTAGTTTGGTATATGATTACGTAATATAAGGTAATAATATCGTGGCGTTTTAAAGAAATAATGTTCTAACGGAGGAAGAAGTTGTGGATTGAAAATTCATTTCGCAGTATCATATGCATTATTGTTTTTGACGATAAGATTGACATTCGACTATTGACTTTCGCGTTTTACGACAGTGATTAAAATACACGTTTTGAGATAACGCGAAAATTATTGCCGCAAATAGATAATTATATTGTAATTTGATATCAATGAAAGATATTTGCAGGGAATGGAAAGTTACTTTTTAAAAGTAACTAGTTACAGTTAATGTTTATTATATTGTGTGAAATTTATATACTGCGTATGTAGTCATGTAGACTACATACGCAGTATATAAATTTCACACAATATAATAAACATTAACATCTTGTTTTCAAGACTCGATTAGGCTTTACACTTTACACTTTCCTCGATTTTTAAATCATACGAGTCAATTATTATTATCTTTCATTATAGTTACAGTTACTCGTTACCGAGTAAAAAATGTAACTAGTTACAGTTACAGTTATCGCTTTTTAAAAGTAACTCGTTACAGTTACCGTTACTTGAAAAATAACTTTTCGTTACTTTTCCGTTACTTTTTGAAAATCAATTTAAAAATGTACTTTTGCATTTTTTTTTTTATATGTAATACTGCGACAAATATATAGTTTTATTTAAAAAAAAAAACAATGTAGAATGGCTCAAATAATAAATTAAATAAAAGTAAAATGAGAAGGGTTACGAGCCAAAAATGAAACAGTTTATTTCCGATAAGAACGACGATGACAATGTAATTAAATGTATAAATATATATTAGAACAATACATAGATAAAACAAGATAAAAACAAACGACGTTTCGACACTTATTGTCATCGTCTTTTAAACTGTTTCGCTTTTGGGTTCATAGCCCTTCTCATTTTACTATTATTTAATTTATTTTTTAATTTTTTTTAAACACAATTTTGTAATTCTAAAACCTGTAAAATATGCAGCAAACTGAAATATTTGTATGTCCTATGTATTACAAAGAAGATAGAAGTGTAAAATAATTACTGAATCATAACGGCCGAATGTCTAAGGGCTTTCAAGTCTTATTGATAAGCGCTATAAATAGCATGTATCCAATCGAACCGTGTTTAATCGTGTGCAAAGTAACGACAAAAGTAACTGTAAATTTCGTTACCGTTACCCAAAAAATGTAACTCGTTACAGTTACAGTTACCAAAAAAAGAAAGTAACGCAGTTACTAGTAAAGTTACCAAAAAAGTAACTTGTAACTGTAACTTCGTTACAAGTAACGAGTTACTTCCATTCCCTGGATATTTGTTGGCTAAGTTTTATTCCGAGAAAAGTTGGATTTTGATTTATTTCTTAATTTGTTATCTGATTATTTGTTGCAATGATTGTCGCTGTTATTTTATTATATGTATTTTCATTCACACACTGTTTAAATAACATAAAAAGTTAGATTAAAGTTTACGATATCTCGAGTCTTCGTTAATGGCACAGTGATTGAAGTATATATGTATGCATGTATATTGTATATAATAGAACGTTTTCCAACAAAAACGTAGCGTAACATGATGAATTATTTTATCCTTGTTTAACGTAGGTTACACTATGCTCTTGCTGGAAAATGCCCGTAATATTTTCATTTATCATTCTTACATGTCCTGACTGATTACACATGATGGATGTACAACCGATCGGAAGTGCGTTTCCTTGCATTTCAGTAACGTTCGGGAGAATGTCGTCCAGATGCATCAGAAACAACTGCAATGATTACATTTTAATTTAATTCCAAAAACGTTCGTACAAATAAAAATCCTTGTAATTACTTAATTTTTATTATTATCCGAACATTTATTTGGAAACAATTTATTAAAACGACAAAAATTTGCAAAGTTTAAGAAAAAATGAATTCAATTAATTGATTTATTAATCAAAGATTATTGAAATTTGTTTTGTGATAAAATTATTGATAATTAATTAATTAATTATATATATATATCTAAGAATTTTTATCTCTTCTTTTATTATTCAGCTATTTTTCATACTTTATAAAACGGCACATTAGCACCGTCCGCTGTTCCCTCGATCTCCTTCAAATACTGCGGGAATTGTTTTTTGACCGCATCAAGGGTCTCATTATAAATCTTCTTGCCTTCCTCGGTCGCGAATAGCGGCAGATAGATCTCATTCAGCGGTTGATAAATGTCCACAAAATCCTGAATCATCTTGGCAAAGGTGTGTCCCTAATGTAGAAAAAAGCAGAGGAAGAAGAGAATGGATTTCGTGAATGTGAATTAATCAAACGCACGTGGCGTAACACATTGACCAATGTGCGAGGACTGTATGAGCCTGTATGTAGAACAACAGGAATTTAATCCGGGTGAACGTTGCACCAATGGCCGTTCTCCTTTTCTTACTGTCCTTCCATCCATGTGTTATCGCTTCACATTCATGCTGATCAGATTAACTATGCACCTTCTTAAATCGCGTGTGATATATCGGAGTTCATTCCTCCGGATCGATACAAGAAAATTGCATTGCAAAGTGCATTAGCGATCTTGATTTACATACATGCTTTGCGCTACTCATGTTTTACGCGAACGCAGGTGTCATTATAAATTACATCGGCCGTTTAACAGACGTTTTATTTCTAATAGTTTTCTTATTGTATAGAAAAAAAATAAAAATTGCGCGATAGAGCATAACTTGTCACTAAACTGACACTATTGAATTTCGAAAAACGAATTGAGTGTAAATTATATAATGCATCAATTATTACTACTAAAATTGTTTACATTAAAATGACTGTTATTATTATATTCATTAGATATTAAAGTAAAACGATTATTATATGTAAAATATATATTATATATAAAATTATATATATAAGCTAATATAGAATTGTTGTAAATAATGAAAAAATTATGATGCAACACAGAGCGTCTAGTAAGAATCAGATCGTTTATCGTAAACATATACTTTTCAGACAACAGATTTATCTGTTTACGTTATTATTAATCTCACATGTTTTTTTTTAAGTATACTTAATATTATAATTTAATCGTAATCTTTAAATACAATTAAATTATAATATTGTATAGCTATTGTCATTATAATAGAGCACTCTAAGCAATGGCATTTTCAAATATCTTACATGGTATTCATCACATCGGTATTCATATTTATTCTTATAGGTACTTAAAATTGTTTTAATTACAGTCTTAAACAGCTGAAACTGGAAGACTGTATTAGTATCTTAAAACTTTACTTAAGACGATTTTAAAATAAAAACGTACTGTATATACCGTCCTTATCGACGATTGTCGCTATCGTCAATTACTGGTAACCAAATAAGATAGCTGCATTTTTTTTCGAGAATTTTCGTCGTTAACGATACTGACTCATCGATAAAATGTTAAGAAATTCCGCTGTAGTAATGATAAACGCGCGCTGCGTTGAATTGCCTTTTCTTATGGGTATCACGCTTATTCATAAACTATTAATTATTGTAGTTAATCTCGTATTGGATTTATTATAATTATCTCATTAATTATTTGAAAGTATGCAAAATGGCAAAGGACTTTTTTTTTCAATCTAATCTGTTCTATTTCTCCACGAATTGTGATCCGATTATTATTACTATAGGCATCTTGTATACATAATTTATCAACTTTTTATCTTCGACATTTTTTGAAAGCTTTATAAATATATATGGTAAAGAATATTTCTAATTCTCTCGGAGGAGGGGAGGGGAGGGGATTAAAATTCTTGAGGGAAAAGGCAACGTGCTCAACTTGGTAATTAAGTCATACGTTTTCGCAAATTCTAAATTGTCATTAAATAATAAAATTGATATAATAGAAGGCTCTTTAAGTATAAAACATAAGAAATAAACGAAGGGCCAAGAGCCAAATGTTGACATTTAAAACAATAACACTTTAATTTAAATTAATAAACATTACAAAATAAAAAGTTATCAACAGACGTTTCGACATCGATCGGGTCATTATCAATGTTCACAAAAGTATTTAAAAAACATATGTCTACAGAATAAAAAATATTTAAATTAAAGTGTTATTGTTTTAAATGTCAACATCTTGGCCCTTCGTTTATTTCTTATTAAATAATAATACTGTTTAATCCTTACGATGTCAAAACCAATATCGTAGTGTGTTCCTCGAACGTGGATTATGGGAACGACGTTTCTGCGACTTATGTACTTGCCCGTCGACTCCTTGTTGCACGTTACGGTTGCCATATTTTCGTCGTGAAAAACGAAAACGTTTACTTCTTCTTTTTCTCTTTAACTCGATGAAAATCTATCCTGAATTATGACACAGAATATCACACTTTATAAAACATTCGCTATAAAACTGTGACTAGATAAATCAAAGTAACCATCGGATAACTTTTTTCTAAAGATGCGAGAAACGATAAACTTTTCCGTCAATTTTTAACCACGGATTTGGCCTGAATACTCTATATACTTTAGTATTTAATACTTATTCTTCAGTAATTTATCAGCATAAATGACACGACGTAATATTAAAGTATTCACGAGAAATGATTGCATTCTAAGTTTTTATGTATCTTTTTTTACGTAAACTTTTTTATGTAATAAGTGAATGATTAGGTAATACATACAGCATAAAAATTATTTTACAATTGTAATTACTTTTTGTAATTGTAATTTTTAAATGTACGCATGTGTTTTAATGGCTGCAATTATACGAATGATGTCAGTTCGCAATTCAACTAAAAATTCCAAAGCTTTTGCAAATTCCTCTCGCGAATACTCGAATATCGAATCGCATCGTGCCACTTGTCCATGAATTAGAAATATTAAAATATATTTAAATTAAAACGGAGTTTATGTATACACTACTTAACGTTTCCCTTGTTGGATTAAGAGATTAAAAGTTTAACTATTGCAGTAAAGAAATAAATGTTACACGAAAATACTGAAAATGTATAACACAAAATTCCTTTCCGAGGTGCGATAATACGTTTCCCAAAGATATGTTTTCCCAAAGACAGCGTTGAACACGAAGTCGTTAGTCGAATTGACGTAACACATCAGCATTTTCAGTAAATGAGCAAAAAAAAAAAATGATATTTTAAATATTCTTTAAAACAAAGGCTTATGCCTAATAAAATCTATATTTTAAAGTACAATTCAAGAGCTTGCGAAAGAAAAAGCAATTTCTTGTTCCACCGCATAATATATACGTATATAATATAAATTATTGTTAAAAATAACAATAAATAAATTCAAAGCTATAATTAGTTCTGACATACTGTCGTATATTTTAATATTTTTCGAGAATACGGCTTCCGGTCCTCCGCAAGAAGAGAGGGATAGCAGAGGAAAATAGAAAAAGTTAAATTCAACGATATACGCGCCTACCTGACTTCCACCGAGCTTCGCGTTGCGGAGGGATCGCGGATGAAGAAACGTTACGAATAGAAAACGCGGTATCAAACGAGGAACCACTCGCGCAAGTAATATATCTTATCTGCGTGTGTCGGTAACGATCGACGGGCAACTGACACCTCGCGGTCTTCGTGAGAAGGAAGACTCGCGACTGTCTCTTATCTGGCTTTTATAGCATCACGTTATCGCTTTACGTTCGCGCTTTACGCTGCGCGGGCGTCGATCGCTTACCACGACTAATGAGGATATAAAAAAAAAAATAAAAAAAAATCAGGAATAAGGATTTACGTATCGCGAAGTAACGTGTACCGTCGCCCATTACCTTGAGACGATCTCAAAGGTAGATCCGGGAGGCAGGAGGCCGCTGATAAACCACTCGAAGAGAAGGGAAGTTCATTTAAAGCCTATTTACTATTATCACTTTGCTCGAATCAAATTCGTCGTCAGACAATAGCGTCAATGGTGTGGGTATCATATGTTTCGATTAGAAATTAAAACGGATTTTATTTTGATTATTCGATCGAATGGATGATTTGGGAAAGAATTACGACAAGAATTAGGCCACATCGAGATGGTACACAATGAAACAGTAACACGTTTGTCAATATCCTTCTCGTGATTATTTTATAATATGGGGCAAATATATTAGATCCTATTTATTTTCAGCAAAAGTTGCTCACTTCGGCGATTTATCTGGAAAGAAAAATTTACGAGAGAGAATACAAAATCGACCTTTCGATTTCCAATAAATCTTTAGACCCCTGTTAAAGTCTAGCTTTTATCTTTCGCAAGGTAAGCGCCTCATCATCGCGATTGCGATGAACAATGGAAGGAAAAAAACGTGCGAAAAAATGCGTACCTCGTTCATATACGTACGTAACATTGCCGTTATCGTAAATATGGCATCGCGCTAGAAATTAAGACAGCGCCGTTTTAAAGTTGTCGGATATTTGCAAGCGCGCTTAAATCCAAATAAGTCGCGTTCATATTTGCGGAAAGATCTCGTCTATGATTCTCCCTCGCGAGTATCGCGCGCTCAAGGATCATGCGGAAAATATACCTCCGCGCGTGAATCTCAATCGACATATAGAAACTAAACGCGCGCGTCTTCACCGCGCTAAATCTGGAAGCGCCGAGGCTCGTCCGCCTTTGTCTTCGCAAAATGACTGTCAACGATTTCCATGTAAAAATCGGCGCGAGGAAAGGCACGTCGATTACGGAGGTAATTATGTAGCTCGGGTATTCTCTTTGTCCCGAGAGATAATTAGTCCATCGCGGGAGGAGAGATATTTATCAAGGATTTAACAAAATGTGCTTAGTATGGAAGGCCGATCATCGTGCGTTTAAAATCTATCGCTGATTTGCGTTACATAAAAAATAAAAATAATCTATTAGACGCTTCGGGATAGTAATTCATCTGGGATTTACATAAATATAATATATAGTTGCAGATTTGTATAATATTCCTGTAATTGCAACGGCATTCGCGCAAAATCCCAGTCGCAAGTTACATCATGATCCATCGGAATTTGTGCGGCTTCGAAATTCTGGTCTTTCCGCGAGCTAAATCAATTACCGTCTATTTTGCGCGGCTTCCGATGAAAGGTCAACGCCAGTTCAAGATTCTGCTGCGCTCACATTAAAGAGACGCGAGTGCGCTGCACGCGTTTCCCTTCTACTTCTATGCGTGTTAGATTTCGCGTTACATAATTTCCATGCATTAAGTTACGCGTTAATGTCCCAACAGAATGAGATAACTAATTACGCGGTAAACATCAGTAAAAGCATAACATAACGTAATGTACGTTTAACGTACAATATGATGAGAATAAGTATACCATTCATGTTTTTAGAATAGGCTTTTTTAAAGGAGGAAAAGAGAGATAAACTTGGAAAGAAAAAATATATTGAGCTTGTTATTTTATGACTTTTTTTAAATGTAAAAAAAAAAAAACAATTTAGATGGTAAAAGATTTCCGTGCTGAAAGTATTAAGCTTAATAATATTAAAACGCCGAGCCATATGGCATTTTATTAAACCAACAATATGTTACATTTTTTATGCGATAAAAAATAATAATATAACGATAAAATATTAATTACGATACAAAACACAACTAATTTAAAAATCGCGAATCGCCCCGATCGTCTTACGTTTATCTAATATCATCGTTAATTATTTAATTAAATTATAAATAATAACTTTAATTGTTCTTATTTGTTGCTAACTAAATTATTATCAATTTACTCATGATCGTTCTCCGTTTATTATTAATTAATTAATTAACGAGACCTGTGAAGAAAAAGTGGGATTCTCTCGCCACGCAGTCATTTGAACAATTTTAAACTGTTTATTATATAAAACGATTAATTCCAGTTTACATTTAAAACATTAGTTTAAATTAAAATGACGTTCTTCTGAAGTCACTTTGTTGTTAATGTTAAAATATTATTCTCGCATGGTGAGAAAATTCTTTCTAGATATATTTACAGAATCTTAAGATAAATATCACTTCATATCACAGAATGAGATTACTTTATGACTGTAAAGATACCATTCTGCATTAAAAAAAACAACTCAAAATTATTTTATTAGGTATACAAATTAGTTCAGTCCGTTTTTTTTGTGTTCAAAAATCAAAACGAATGAACAGATTAATTAAAGTATTGTCCATCGCTGGCTACTACTTTTTCTCATCTCTCAGGCAATTTTCGAATTTCATCTTGAAAAAATGACTCGTCTTTGGAGGCGATCATCTTTTGGAAAACGGACCGAACTAATTTTTACTCCCAATATTAAAGTTTTGATTGTGCGAAAGATTCGTCGCGTTTAATATAAATGCGCCGAATTTCTTTTTATGTTTGTAAAAGATATTATGTTTTATAATCACAAAGGAATCTCCTTTTACATACAAATGGAATATCCTCCAACTTTGATAATTATACATACAATGTGCATTTTTAAGGAATATTCTCTCGACTACATTGTGTCATTTCTCTATAGTTAGAATGGGCAATGGGGCGATCCAAATTCGCAAATTACAGATATTTTTAAAAAAGATCACATCGAATCATTTACTATTTTTGTTTTCTGTTATTTATTATAATTTCTTATATTAAGTATTTAAATTCAGTTTGAATCTAATTAATCCAATTTGAAAGCGTCCAAATGATATAAAAATGTAAATCTAAGAAGATACAAATTTTTTTTCTCCTTTCCCATAAGATTGATAATTTATACATACATTAAGGGAATATATGCAAAGTTCATCAAAATCGGGAAGAGGAGATATTTTGAGGTGAGTTTCCTTGTAAAAATAATCGCAATTATCAATAAAAGTTACATTTAATGAGAGATATATAACTTTCAAAATTTCCATAAAACTTGATGGCGATCGTTTAACTCGCGATATATAAAATACTTACAACGTGAAGAAGGGAGGAAGAGCTCTCTGTGTCGCATGAATCGATTATTTATGTCAGAACAGTTCGAAACAGATCGAATTCTCGCGAAGAAAACAATCGCAGCGAGAATTCCACGAAATATGCGAACACAACGACAGAGACGAATAGAAAAATCACGTTGATTATTCAGTCTTGTATAATGTCTATTTACGTTTCTGAGAGAGAATCGCGTAAAAAATGGACACCTAGAAAAGGTTATTCTCGATAGACGTTTTCTCCATTCTTCTTTTTTTCTAAGCAATCGTGAACATTAGGTTTGCTTTAAAAAAAAAAAAAGAAAAGGAAGATAATAGAAAATAGAAAACCTCATGAAACGTGCGTCCTTCTTCTTGCAGCTATTCTCTCACTCCGTCGAAGCAAAGGTGGCTCATATTCGTTCGCATCATAGCTTTCACTATATTCCCATTTAGATATTTTACCATCCCACTGCAAACACAAAACATAATTTTATACTTATGTGTATCTTATCGTAATGACACATGTAATTGCAGTTGAATGAATGGATTGAAAGAATATGTAACTTCATTTATTTAATATTTAAATATTGTTCATTTTGTTCTGTATGCACATAAGACAAAAGTTATACACAAGCAAAAAACTTTAAGGAACAATTTTATTGATTTGATTAATAAAAGAAATATTTTTCACAATGTTCTCTTTCTTGAAAAATTTTATAGTTCAAATTATCTCCTTCTTCTCTCATAAACGTGAACATCGAAATAACGGAAAATAGCTCTTTGCAGTTGCGGTTTTTTTTTTCGTTTAAAATGTACGAAATACTTTTTTGTGGTAAAATAATTTTACTTACAGATGAGGTAATGAGGTTGTGATCAAAGGGATGCCAGCTAACATCACGTATGCAGCCTAAATGACCTTTTACCTTGCGTACTATTTTTCCAGTTAAAAGATCGTATACTATGGATAAGAAAACAGAACAAATCAGCATTATTCATTTATGATGTCACATATTAGAGAAAGAGAGAAGTAGAATGTAACACTCAAAACTTACTGATGAGCCGGCCAGTCGAATCCCCCGTATAAATGTATCTTTGACCAGTATTGTCCGGTGGCGAAAATCGACAACGTATCAAAGTCTTACGAACTGAATGACCATAATATGTCATAACACTGGTATCACCATCCAAGAAACCTCGGTCCCATACTGAAATAGAACAATATCGTATATATTCCGTAATTCTATGTAACAATAGAGATCAATTGTCACCTTAAGACGTTTCAAATGTGTCTGAATAATACAGAAGTAAAAACAATAATCGTCTTAAGGATTTTTTCTGTTTTCTTTTTTTTGGGCTTATAAAGATATTTACATCGTTGAGGTACAGGCTGCCATCGATAGTCCCAATCCTTACGTTCTACAAGGTGGCGAGCATTTTGCTGGGCTTTACGAGAAGAGAACACGCGCGTATCCCATAACTTGATGCTTTGGTCTTTAGAATTGGTAATAAGATATCGTGTGTCGCCGCGTGAATCGATGTATGTGATTCCGTCTCTATGACCGGCTAATATTCCAACTGGAGACGGATTAGACATGTTTATCAATCTCCTATCCCATACCTAAACCGACAGGAAGACATTGAAAATGTAATATAGAATGAGAATTTTCCAGATAATCACATGCATATCAATCCATTGTCGATTCATAATAGCGCACATCGATTTTTTTCGTGACACACAGATATTTGACTTAAGGTCAATGTAATGCTACAAAGTATTCTATAAGCAAAAAGTAATTTAAAAATTAATCAATTATTACAATTCTTTCTTCTTATTGATCAATCAAATTTAAAGCGACACTTTTCACCGCACCCTTATATGTTCTAGAGAGTGGTCTCTCGAATGACTTAATTATACCTTGCAAAATCCATCATCACCAGCGCTATAGAAGATCTGTGAACTGTTGTCTGCATACGCAACACAGTTTACGTCTTCGTCGTGACCTGTAAACTATAAAAATGAATAGACGTCAGTACAAGAAAGCGCGCTTCTATTACTCAATAATGATTTTACAAACCCGATCGAATCGTTGACAATGAACATCGTACATGTAGATGCATCGATCATTAGCGCCGCCAAGAATTTCGTGACCGTTGTTTGAAAAGACCAAGGAAAAGACGCAAAATCGCCGTACGCCTGGATGTAAAGCTAATGTGTCTATTGAACGATCAGATATATGGCACTGATATACTGTAAAAAATAAAAAAAACACATATTGTATTACATCTGCCAGAGTATAATTGCTCAAGATATAAAAATAATATTACTTACAGCAGTCTGCCCAGCTCGAATATGCGAAATGTTGTCCGTCAGGACTGAACGCTATGTCTAGAACACTCCATCCAACATCATGCGCCAACATCCGATTGTATATCACATAATTACCATTGACCATCTTATATATGTACATCCATTTATCTGTAAAAATTCATGAACATTAGATATGCGCAGTTGAACTAAATAAACTTGTTCTTTTTAATTAAATTCCTTGCATCGCGTTTATCTTTTTTCTATTTTTCTTTTTCTCTACTATAGAGAGAAAAAAAAGAAAGATAAATTATGTGAGTGGTTTAGCTATTAACAGACCTATTATAATTATATGTAACAAGCTTGTACACACAACAAAGTTACTGGATGACGCGTAGCTTGATATCAGTACGAATGATTAGTAATCTGTGGGTCACAAGTTCGATCTCGGTCCTTATTCCATACACATTTTGTTAAGAGGTAAGAGATTAACTTTGATAGAAAGATCTGCTTTGGCAGGAAGAATTGAGATTAAGGTCTCTTTATATTCTGTAACTCTTACGCCTATTTTATGCTTTATCTTTTTCTAGTTTTAAGAATTAGAAAAAGATGAAGAGTTAGTTGAATTATGATTAAATTTAATCTACATTAGTGAAAATGGATATTGATGCAACAAAATCGTTACATCATCTTTGTTCAGGTGTATATAGTAAAGAAGCTAGGCAATAACAATATAAAAAGATTGTTATTGTCGTTAAAAGTTATATAATATGAGTTTAAAGCAGTATTAAAATAGAATTAAAAAGAATGAACATTTTAAATCTATAAGGATGTTATTAAGCAGAATAAAGCAGGTAAAAATAATAAAAACATAAATTAGATGTGTTATGTAACTTGAAAAAATAGATTGACAACTTCAGCATCCTAGCATAATATTGCAGAATAAATATTGTAGAATATACCTTGAGTGGAGGCGATGAAGAACTCTCCATCCTTGGAATATAAACCACAGAATACTTTCGACCCAAAGTCCCGTATGACTTTTGGCTTATTCGGCAAAAGACTGTTTCCTATCCTACATTTTTCGTTAATGCTAAAACCGTTTGGTTTCAGGGTCCTTTTCTCTATCAATGGTATGATAGACATGTTCTTCTCGTCAGTGACCCCAGAGGTATTTTTGGTGACGACGGATATGTCATTTTTCTGAAAAACGTTATAACGCGATTAAAAATAAAAACAAATGAAAGCAAAACGAAAGACTTACCTACATTTTTGTAAAGTTTTATATGAACCATATCGGGAAACAAGGTTACTTCATAAATAAACTCACCTCTAATCTGGTTGTATCTGGAAACCTTGCTCGTGCGCGAATTCGTGCCAATTCATCCTCCGATTCGTCAGATAGATCTATATTGGAACTGCAACAACGAAAAAGATAGTACTCCAAGGATATTTGTCGAGGATATTTACACAGTTGTTTCGACTGATGCGTGAGGTTATGAAACGAGATGAGTATACGAAGACGTCTCCGTACGAGTCGGTTCTCGGAACAAGTTTTTTTTTTATTTTTCAGAATTTGTACGAAGATAACGATCACGAATAAGAAAATGCTGGACGAAAACGAGTAACGATGTATTCCGAGGAATATTCCACAGCGACAGATCACGAAAGTTAGGCTGAAAGCGGTTATGAAAATAGCGCGCGTTGCAATAATAGAGAAGAGTGGGGGTAACGTCAAGGTTAGGGTGCAATCACAATAGAAGGAATAAGGAATAAGAAATTTCAACCTATTAGAAATCGGATACATTAGTATACAGTTTCTAATAGGCTGAAATTTCTGTTCCTTATTTAATTAATCTCCACGTGTGACTCAACTAAACTCCTCAGTCCTCATCCTTTTTTAATTGAAATAAATTACCTTCGAAACAGGCATAGGCGTATGTATTCCATATTGTAAAATTAATTTTAATCTCGGAACTAAAGGTATAATTTCAAATGCTGCTACAAATTAAATGAGCGATTGGAGTAACAGATTTGTTGTTAATCCAGCGACCGAAATTTTGTAGTTTAAACCGAACAATTTTAACTACAATAGAACGCTCACTCAAACATTAACGTTGTTGACAGTGCTGCCGCACCATGCCGATCATGTTAACTAGCGTTTACCGCGATATATCAATAATATATAACTTAATTTAAATTTATACTTCCCCTATTCATATTACTTTACTTTATTGTTGATATAGATAAAAAAATTTGTTGCAGTATTAAAATATCCTGTTGAACTTTATTAAAGCACCGATGAGATACTATTTAAGAACGGCCCTGGGCAAATTTCCGTGACTATCAATGGAGCTTCACCGAGAGCGCGGGAATTGAAGAACAATGACGTTATCGACAAATAATAAAAATTTGCGATTATTAACATAAATATTTCAATAAAACGTAAAAAATGAAATTTTTCATCATTGAAGATGGAGAAATGTTTCCTTTTTTTTACCTTAAAAAAAAGTTACATGATCAATAAAAGTACACGAGGTAAAAAATAGGATTAAAGAATAAAAATTTCACATTGTCAACAGATGAATTAAATATATGTTGCTGACATATTAAACAAGTTTTGTAAGAGTTTTCGATATATATGTATAAAGAATAACGAAACTACTGATAGCTCTCGATAGTGATACTATCAAATATCAATATCATATTTCTAATTTAAAGTGATACTATCAAATATCAATATTTCTAATTTTGTATTCTGTAATTAAATTTATATAAAAATGCTTTAAATATGTATATATACACCTACGTAACCTCAGTACAGTTTCATAATTTCGCGCAATATTACAAACGTATCCTTTATCTCTTTTTCATTCGTCAACAATAATTTTGTAAATCGTCCTTCGCGCGAGCTCTGTTATAATTAATTGGCATTTTGCAGAAGTGCAACCTTCCAGATTTCTCTGGAAATTAATTAGCTTTTGTCTTATTATGCAAACCGAGTCGTAAATATTCATTATCACTCTCTTATTATAGGATATAATATTGAAAGATAAAACATTCACACTTCAAGTGTGTGTATTCCGATAAGTTTAAGAGGTAAAGGTCACACAGGTTGAGAGTGAGAGACAGAGAGAGGAAGGGAGGGAGGGAGGGAGTTTATAGAGGGATTAGGGTGTTACAGGACGATATTAAAAGTTACGTGTCAGGGGCGCGCAATTCAGGCCAGACACGTGTGGCTATGATTCAAACTTCATCTAACGAAGGACCGGAAGATCGTTAATTAATTTCGTGCTACGATTAGTTTTCGTGGTTAACTTCGCGGTTAGACAGAGTATTACAAAAATCTTGTACTTTTATCGATGTATGTACACGATTAATTAGATACTCAACTTCCGAAGGAAGTTAATGAGATTAACACAATGACCTATAGGTAGCAATTAGCTAACGTTTCTCAGAAACGGTAAAAATCTCACTAAACGATCTCACTAACAGTAAGCTAACTAAGAGCAAAGATGTCATTTTTTGATGTTAAAATAAAGGCTAGATAATGTCAGCTTGTTACTATCCTGTCACGAAGATCCGTCTCCGTCTTTTTTAACTTTTATATAAAATATAATAAATAAAAGAATAAAGCCACTATATAGTGGCGTTGAAACAGTCTCATATTTTGAGGCAAAGAATATAATGAAATAATAAATTATACTCAATCTTATCCAAGGAAAAGTTATAAGAGAGATTTAGAAAATAGATCTCCCTCCCTCTTAATCTCTGAAAATTTATTTGACAATTTCCAAAGAAAATTCGTTTCCTCTATATATTTTAGGTCGCTTTAATAACTATTTTTGGATCTGGAATATTAAAAAAAATATGGCACAGCACGTAAATTGATCAACGAAATTCTGATGTTTTTAATTCACGGTCGACTATGTGTTTCATGTTACGGAAAAAAAAAAAAAAATGAATACTGCCGTAATTACTTTTCTGTGACGAGGAAATACGCGTGAAAAGCAATTCGATCACTGTGGAAATAAAAGTATTTGACCTGCAATGTGATGTGTCACGTTGTTATCGCACTCTTGGATACGCGAGATCTGAGGTCACGATCATTTAATTGTTTGTCCAATAGAATGGAGACGTAGGGGCTGGAAAATTATTATCCCACGCGTTTATAGAATCAATAGATTAGATAATCGAACATTTACAGATGATGGCGCATTTACAGGTTTAAGCTTGCGAGAGATTGAGCCCATTATATTTGCGTTATGTTCAAATTAGACCGGATATCTGCGGCGAGCAATCGCGCCTCTGTTTTTTTGTTAAAATCCCACGAGAGAGGAAGCTGGCATATTCAGTTGGTACTGATCTTCCTGTATGTATATATATATTAACTAATATACACTCTAATAGCGTTTTCGACTGCAGTAGGTTTAAACCAACCTAGGTTGGATTATGACGTCTATGTTGGTAGTGGAACGTCTATACTATTGGTACGTGTAACATGTAGTCAACTAATAATAGAGCATGCACCGTCATTAATCCAATCCAGATTGATTCAAACCCATTGTAGTCGAAAATATAATTTATACTGTCTAACTGTAATTATACAAGATTATAGTATAAGTTAAGATGAGACAAAATGTATATATATATATGTTATATGTATGTATGTGTGTGTGTGTGTGTGTGTGAACTGAAAGGACGACTTTTACTGAAGTACCTAAATTTTTATCTAGATACAGATAATAATTTTGTTGAAAACCAAAATAATTATATGAGATGCTTAAGCTAGTTGTTATAACTTTTTGCAGTAATTAATTAATTTTATATACAATAAATTATAGCCATAATAACATCCAGTGTTGGCTCTCGAAGACTTTTCTTAATCGATCTACTTCATTGAAGCCTCTATAATTTTTATTGGTTCTTGCAGTATTATATTGCTCATTACGCTTTAATTTTCGACATAAATATTTTGATGGTCCAATAAAATTATTTTCAGATCTACATCTAGCTAGAAATTTCTATAGATATTTCAGTAAATAGTTCTTTCTGCAGGGAGATAGTACCCAAGAAAAACGAGAAAGTTAAAATAATTAATGTCATATTGATCGAATCATGGCCAAAAAAAATGACATACATTCAATAATCGGTTAATATGACGTCAAACTGCCATTAATTTGACTTTCCTGCTCTCCTTGAGTTACATCTCTTTCTCTCCCGTAGAATTTTGACCAAATCGCTCGTGGCAGGACTCTATACTCTCAGCAGGAAAATCGCGAAAATCACTGCTCGTCATCGGCAAGGATGACGCGTCATCACCACCTTCGGCCTTGTCGATCACGTGCGGGCGCGTAATAACGTTAGCAAATGTTGCGCCGCTATTTCCGATTGTCCCGCGACCAATCGTATCTGTGTAACGGCTTGACACGCGGAAACGTTCGCCAGGACGTGATCGTCCTGAGAATGGTGCTCGTCGACAGCGAACGGAATGCAGATAACACCTGATAACGCGCGCGAAGGAAGCTCCCGCAGGAGTCACCAATCGATTTCTGATTCTATACATTCGTCGGACGACGTGTCGTGCGTTTCTGCGAAAGCACGAGTATACGCTTCTCGAACGAAATTATCGAAAACGTGTGGGCCTTGAAGCGCGCGTCAACTTCGTAAATCACTCTACTCGCCGATAATTTGAAGCAAACTTTGTTTGGTAACAAAAGCTGTTTGTTTAACTTAAGCTCGGGAACATGTTAAATATGTATTTATACTTTTAAAAATCGTATAAAAACAATTAGTGGCCAATTCCTTGCAGAGGAAATATCGGCATCAAATCGAAGAATTCACCTAAAATTACAATTCACCCTAACAAATGTTGGAACATTATCGCCGTAGATATGATATTCATGCTTTCACTCTTCCGCGTGTCAATAATGAAATTTTCGAGCTACAAATGTTGGGCCTGCAAATATTTATCCTTTTCTAACTGTATTTATGATTAATCCAATTTTCAGTTAAGCACACGTAAAGCAAGCTTTGCTTACGGATAGAAAGAAATATTAGCAAATATATTGCGAGCTCGTAGATATTACAAATTCAGATGAGAGCACTTGCCAATTTTCGGTTTTCTATTACAAAATGTCACTGTATACGTATATCATGGACAATAAAAATCTGAAAGCTTATCGGAAAGTAATTATCTTCAATAATCTTTGGAATTTTATTTCTTCTTCAAAAGTGTCTGCATTCATATAATAAAATAGCGCACTGAAATATCGATACTCATGACTCTATTCTGCATAATTATACGTACGATTGTATTATAACCGAAACGAGCGCCGCGGATAATTCGAGCATACTTTAATGCGAGAACGAAATCTATATTGGAATATAAATTTGCTGTAGGCGACACGCCGACAATCGTCAGGGAAACGCGGGACTGATGCAGGAGATCTGATCGGACAATAGGCACTATATAGGTACAATAGCATGATTCCGACTAAATTAGATCGGCCCTATCGATTGGTTCGTTGACTCGCAACAAACTTGTCACAATGCGGAGTCTGATGCGACCGTGACTCGTATTTCTGATGGAGCCGCGCGTGACGTCAGAATCTATACGCGACGAAATCTGAGGAGTTCAACGCGGGAACGAGGTGAGACGAGGGCAATCCGTTTTGGACGCGACTTACGAAGCCGAAAGTCCCAAGACTAACGTTCTTCCCGCGTCGAATCTCCAATTTACACGTCGTAAAAGCTCCCACGAAACTCCACCTACGACTTTTACGCGCGATAAGACATTTTTATATTTTATCTTAAAAAGGGTCTCATATAAAATTGAAAAAAAAAAACGCTGCTCGTGAACTACCTAAAAATTATTCGATATTTATATATTTTGGTATTACTTTGGTATTACTTTCTCGTTTCAAATTAAAGTGCGTTTCAAAGTTACC